AAAAAAAAAAAAAAAAAAAAAAAAGAAAACCCTCAGAAATCAAAAGGAGGACATTTAGTGGCTGATGGGAGAATGTCAGTATCATGGGAAGAGATGAGACACAGGGGACTGGCCAATTCAAAACTGGGTACACTGGGGACTTGGGAGTCCACAGGAGGGGGAGTTGAGGAAGAGTCTGGAAAGGTCATTGGTCGTTTAGCTTGTCAGAGGCAGAAGACAAACAGGTGGCCCAAAGTCCTTAGACTGAGAGTGTATACAGGACATCCTAGTCCTTCAGGGGGTTGTGAGCCATGGTCTCAGGGAGCATGGCACTGAAGGGTGGTGTTTGTGGCCCAGGAATGTGATGTGGAGACATAGAAAGGGAATTGCGATCAGACTGTACCTGGAAAAACAAGACAGAAGGCAGTGCTGCTGAACCCCAAATCCCAGTTCAAGAGGTGCTTTGGGATGTGTTTGTTTGCTTGGAACAGATGTTGCAAATAGCTGTTTTGCAAATCAAAACACAGCCTTTCCACGGAGCTGCAGGCAGCACTGGGGAGCTGTCTCTTTTCTCTCCATTGAAATTCACCGTGATCAATCGCTTCTTCATTTTTGATAGGCAGTGATGTCTATTTTTATAAAAGTGTCAAGGATAGAACTGTTGAGGGGACAGACTGAAAGAGCTTGAGATGTTTAGCAGGGGAAGGAAGGGTTGGCCTAGTTAAAAAGGGATTATCTTTACATTTTTTTTATCATTACATTAGTGAAAATTGATTAGACAAATGCAAAATCAGGCGGTAGGCTGAAATGAATGCCTCATATACTTAAAAAGTGCCCAAATATTGTCTCCTAAAGTTTACGGTGGCCATGTGTAAGTTGACCATATCATGTAACTTTCTGAAGATAATAGATAGTAACATTTGTATTGGTAACTGGTTTAATAAAGTACTTTCCATGGATCCAACATTATATTAAATATATTCATACAAGCAATTTTTAATTTTTACAAACCATCCTATGAGGTAGGTGCAATTATTATTACCCTCTTTTTATAGATGAGAAAAACTGAAGCTTAGATAACATCGCCTATCTGAGTTCACCCTGTTGATATCTGGCTGAGCCGAGATTTGACCCCAGGCTTACCTGACTGCAGGCACTGAGAGCTCAAATAATCAAATATCTTTATCTGTGGTTACTCTAACAGAAGTTTAGGATGGCTACAAGTTTTAGCTGGTGAAACTTCTAACATTTCTGTGAGCCAGAATTTAATCTGGGAATCAGAAAAGCGGTGATGAATATCTTTCTGACTTTTTATTCCATTTAGTCTTTATCTGCTTTTCCTTTGAAGCGTTCCTGGGGTTGGAGAGGGCAGCTTTTAATCTGGGACACCATTAAAGCACATTCTGATTTGTCTCCCCTCTCATTTGGGGTGGTGTGGGGTGAGTTGGTAGTGATCCATGGGGTGCCTCTAGAATTGGGAGGGTGGGGTGAGGAACTCACCTTATATAGGAGCCTAGGAAATCTTTGGGATTGTAAATGTGTTTTTTTTTTTTTTTTCCCCTATGGTGTTAGAATTCACTGCTGGAAGGAAGCTCTTAGAATATCTGTGGATCCTGACTCTGGTCTCAGGCCTTTGAACTGTGGTCATAAATCCCCAGGGAGAATCCATACCTGAACCATGAATTCTCAAAATTAGAGAGTTCTGAAGTCAATGTGGGCTAGTTGGTGGTGGGCACGGGTATCTCAGGGAAGGTGCCAGGTCAGAGACAAATGTTGTAGAGGCCCTACTGCCAGACCCCAGATTTGACCATGGGAATGAGCTACTGAGTTGACTGTGAGAAAGTGTGCTCCTCTTCCTCCTTTTGGTGAACCAAGCTTCACCAGGAATTTACCTTCTCCTGGAAGTCTTAAAATGCAACCCAGGAGAGAGGTTCTTGCCTCCTGTGCCACCTGAACTGCTTCCATTTCCTGGTTCTCCTTCACCTCCCCTCCTCTCGCCCCTCCCTAGTGGATCTGTGTGTTCCCAGAGTCTCCACCCCGATGGATATGAAAGGAAGGACCAGGTGCTCTGTCCTCCACCCTTTGCTTGTCTCAG